ACAAGAGAAGATAAGGATTGTCACCAAGTCAAAAGTTGGTCACCCACTTATCAATTAGTCATCAAATCAATAGTTCCCAATTTTGGCCTATAAAAGGAGGCATTTGCCATGCATTTAGGCATCTTGGTTTCCAGATCAAGATCATGCTCTTCCTTTCTCTCTTTGTATTTTTTGTAATGTTTATGCTTTGCTTTCATTAATATTAAGTTTATGCCTTTCATTTCCTTTCCTTTACTTAGTTAACTTTTATGTTCTTATTTTGTTTATCTATTTTGCTTTCTTTCATTATGTCTAGCTAAGTTAATTATGTCAAGGTGAAAAGGTTACACTAATGGTGTAAGAATAAGTATAATGTAAACTTAATATGGACTTTAATGTTTGATACTAACATGTTTTATATTTGCTATCTTGTTCACTCTTTAATACTTTGCTTGTTAAATGACTAATCTTGATTTATGTTGTATAACACTTGGTACAACAAATGCTTGGCACTTTCATAGCCCATAATGTATGGTATAACCGACACCTGAGCTATGAAAGGAACTTGATTTGTTGTTAACATAAGTTATAATCATGAATGCTTGACGAGATTTACAAGTATTAGCATTAATTGAATAAGATGACTAATGTAATCATGTTAACAATATATAATCTGATTGGAACCTCCTTTGTGTGTGGTTTCCAATTCAATAATAAGAGTTTATACTATACTTGTTTGATATACCATTAGTGGAACCTCTAACCTTGACATTTGTTATTATCATTGTTTAATCGTTACATTAATATTCCATCTCAAAGTTCTCATCATCTTCTTCTTCTTCTCTTTCTTTATTATTATTATTATTACTACTACTACTACTACTACTACTACTACTACTACTACTACTACTACTACTACTACTACTACTACTACTACTACTACTACTACTACTACTACTACTACTACTACTACTACTACTACTACTACTACTACTACTACTACTACTACTACTACTACTACTACTACTACTACTACTACTACTACTA